CGCATGGGAGAGGCAAGGAGGTGGGAAATGGTGGGATGGAGTTCTTCGCCTTATAATTTGAGTCTGCGTCTAAAGATGCTATGGGAACCGAACTTAGAATATATTTGTAAGGATGTGGTGCTGGATTTGTCAAGCAAATACAGTCCTTCGTTGGTCTAATCGCCTTATTGTAAACTACACCTTTTGCTTGTTTCTTCTTTGTTTTTATACTTTTATTGAAATTCGGTGTTTGTCATTCGATTGCAGCTTGTTCTGTCATGTCCCTCCCACATTTTTATCGATGTAAATATATTTTTGTGTCTTTCATTTCATACAAATGTACTTCGAGTTATTGTTGTTGTAATTATTATTATTATTATTATTATTATTATTATTATTATTATTATTATTATTATTATTATAAAAGGGAGGTCGCTTGACGAGAGAGTCGAAAAAGGATGTGATCTAGAGAGAGCCCCGATGTGTAGAGTGAAGCCATTTTTCTATCTACCTTGCTGTTTTCATTAGAAAATGTAATCATCTGATCACAAATATTTTTATTTACATGTTTACAATTTTCGATATGCAGAATTACTTTCATTATTTACCATGCACGTATGAAAATTTATATTTGCATACTATTCACGTTTCTACTGTACATGACATATCGTCCTTAGTTGAAATGGGCTATGATCGTATCGTACGAGATTTCCAAGTATCGCGAGTAATTCGAATCGACAATTTTCATGGCAGAGATTTCTGCATAACGGGGTAATAAAAAATGAAATAAAAGTCTTGTTAATGGCCATTAGATACGATCTTTTTTGTTGCCGTCGTCCTAGAGAAGTGTCTTGAACTTTGGAAGATCGTGTTTAATGTCGATACGAACGCTCGCGTCCGATCTTTCCCTTGGGGAGCTCCTATATTTTACGAAGCGTCATAAAAATAAACGGCTGCAAAATTTTGAGGGAGTCAGAAGCTACCCGCATATCGCCTTCCGTGCGTTCTTAAAAATTTAACAGATCATGGCGTCCGAGAGGTCACGAACCTATGCAAAGTCTTGTACTGACCACCCCTCCCAAATCGTCAAACGAAACGACCCCAGGTCTCCAAGGACGTACAAGTGTTGATATGTTGACCTTTACATTCGCATTACATGAATACTATTAATGAAATGGACTGAACGTAATGTATCGAAATGATTAGTTTACTCCGAGACTCGAATCAGAAAAATACTTTGGATTATGAATCTTGAAAGAAAATTGCACTCCGTATTTGTGAGAATTTCGCCTATTCTCTACAATAATCTTAGCGACTTATTTTAAAAACAGAAACCCCGTAAATAAAACTTTCTGAGAAACGTTATACAACGCATTAAAAAAATACCACCTACGTAATCAACGGAATCTAGTGCCAAAAATGGAAATAAACACCTGTTCCAAAAATTGTACCCAGAGAATAACGCGATGGCCATTTTCCTAAGTGTATCTTCAAAGATAAAATTTTTGAGCTGTAGTTTATTATTGTACTTTCATTCGCTCTGTCTTAAGTCGCACAAAACATTCGTACTTACAGTCATATTTCACCATATTTACTCTGTGCATTACACTCGTTTCACTCAACGGCTCCGCCTGACCGTGGAGTGTAATAGTTGCGAAAAAAATCGCCCGGACGCTCTGCGGAAAGAGGGAGAAAGGGGGTGGGGGTGGGGGCGCGTGCAGGTCAGCGTGGGGGTCGCGAGGGTCCGGCGAGCCGCCGCCGCCACTGGATACGGAATATTTACTGCCCGCGTCCGTATTGAAATGTGGCCCAAAGGGACGGACGGAAGGCCCGCGGTCTCCCTCGAGATGGAGCCAAGACTCCCTTTACGAGTCTCCAACTTTCCTCATGCAGAAGACTCCCCCGCCCTCCGCCCGCACACGGAGCTGGGCGGAGGCAGGGGAGAGAGGCGTCGAAGGCCGAAAGGCACGGGCACGAGGGTGCGGACTGCGGAGGCGGCGAGGGCGGGCAGACCGCCGGGAAGGATGATGACGGCGGTAATGATGAGGGCGGAATGTCGACGAGGGCAGCGAAGATGAGAGTGGCCGTGGGGAGGTCGGATGGGAGGAAGACTGGAACGGAACGTAGAGGTCGGCAGAGACGGCCAGGATGACAGTAATGAGCACCTGGTTCTCGAGAGCGTCAGGGATCGGCAGGAGAAACGCTGGCAAAAAAAGGGAATGAAACGGCGTGAATGTCGAACTCCGCGATGAAGGCAGAGGCGGTGAAAGAGTCGGAGACGGTGGTAGGAGGCGAAGTGGTGATAGGCGGAGTCGGTGATGGGAAGCGAAGACGGCGGGAGGAGGCGGAGACGATCGTTGAGGCGAAGACTGTGAGAGCGGCGGAGACGGCGAAGACAGAGGGCACGGCGACGACGGCAGAAACGACTTCAGCGGGCGCCGCGACGATACGAACGGTCCGAGAACATGGACGCCACCAGGTCTCGCATAGGAACACGGCCGTGCCGGGGGCGGGAGTGAAAGGCGGCAGGGCCGGGCGTCAGCGCCGGGACCTCTCCATCCAGCCCAGCGCGCAGCCCACGGCGCGTCGTTAAAGAGGAAGCCCCCGGCGACGGACGAGTCGCGGAGGACGCCGCGCCCGACCCTCCCACCCCTCGTTCTCAGTTGACCGTTTGGAATTAGCCCCTCGTGAGATCGGCGATCCCTACATTGCCCTTGAAGGTATATTGTCACCCTTGTGCTAAAGCGGTAGGGCTGGTCGGTTTGCCTGAGATTTATTTATATACTTATTTACTCATCTACTTATTACATATTTACTTATTTATCTGGTAGAGGAAGTTTTGAAAAAACGAGCAGTGAACAAGTTTTTCAAAAAGCTATTAAATTTAGTGTTTTGACCTTTCATTGTATCATTGTAATGCCGATTTTTTTACTAAAATGCATTAACATGAGTTTGCATTAAGAAAAGTGTACTTTTTTGAATAATAGAAAATCTTTCGATCATATTTTTTAATAATTCGTTGTTTTTTCGTGATGGTTCTTTACTTGTTCTTCATTAAATTGCTGACCAATATCCATTGACACTTCATTATGAGTGTGCGTGCTCCTTTCATTGTAGTGATTCTAGTTTGCATCCAATATCTCTCTTCTCAAAGACAAAATTAATTATGGAAGATGCAAACAGTAATTCCACCCGTTTCGTCAACAGTTGCCTGCGTCTGGTCTGTGTGTATAGTATTAATACTTACCCTTTTCCTTCAGTACCGTATCGTCCCTCGGTAGTCAAATTGAAAGACCCACCCCCGTTGTACCCAAAAGAACCCTTCACCACGAACAGGTGAAAGTTAGGGGCCACGTAACGGGATGATCCCTCTTCCAAAGCTCTTTTAACCAACCGCATCATCCCTGTAGTTAGGGCTACGCAACCCGACTTCGCGCTGGAAAGGGGCATCGCCGTATGAATGAGAACAGAGGCGACTGCGGCGTTCGGGCACCGCCGGTCACCCCCCATCCTGTGCCTCCCCCCCCCCTCCCGGGATCTCGATCTTCCAGACACTTTAGCGCAGGTATCATTACGGGAAGGGGGCGGAAAAGGGAAAGGGTTGCGGAAAGGGGGCAAGGGGGTCAGGCACGTGGCCCTCACACGCCCAGAGGGGCGGCTACAGCTACAGCTTGTCCTGCTTTTAGAGCCTACCGCATAAGATAAATAGAAATAAAAAAAAAGACAAAGCAAACCAACAATTGAGGGAGAATACAAAGCTAGTTGGTTGTATTGATAACGTGAAGGCTGAATTCCTGAAAAACAAGCATTCTTTACCAGTCCATAGAATAATCAGTTAAAAGTAATGAACGATAAATCAGAACAATTATGATATAGCAGCTAGAAAATGAACCGACCTATGACAATGAGGGAAATGAAATGATATAGGCAGTGATTTCCTAACGGTCAATGCGCGTTACAGGCGTAATAGTTGACGCAGCTTTACGCCACCAGGAAATAATTCGAACGGGGTAGATGGGGTTATGGGAGGCGGTCATAGAAACATGAAAGACACTGTGAAAATGTCTGTTACAAGATTTTTTTATATAATTAATATATTTTATTTCAACCATATTAATTGTATGTTTAAAATACTCGCATGACAAATTATTAAATATACCACTTCGATGTGTTTTCGGTTTTTTTTTCTGTTTAAACTTTTATTTTGTTTTCAACTATTTAATTATTTTTGAAAGACGATACCGTCCGGACCCCCCTCGCACCTTACTCCCCCCTCCTCACTTTCGACACCGGTCTCATCCTTTGGGGCCCGGGGCTTTTTTTGCCACGCGCCGTCCGCACCCCTTCCCTGCCCCCAGCGGCCCGCCCACGTGGCGCGCCACGCGCCGTGCCGCTGCGGCGGAAGGCAAGGGAGGAGGAGGAGGACGCGGGGCGTGGGACGTGCCCGCGCGCGCCCGCGGGGACCGCGACGCCGCGACGCGTCGCCCCGAATTCCGCCGCTGCCGCATGACGCGGACGGCTGAGGTTGAACAACGGACAGGCCTTTGGGGGATGGCACGGCCCACTCTGGCTCGTGAAATGGGGGGGGGGCATGTAAAATAAAGTGTCTTTATTTAAGATATTTATTTCTTTTTATAAATTTATTTATTTATTTTTATACATTTATTTATTTATTTTTATTCATTTATTTATTTATTTATTTTACACCAAAAACAGTTAAAAGCTGTGTGTGACGTGCTACGTGAAGTGAATTCTGTGCATGTTTTCATAATTCTGTGATCCTTACTGTAAGTCATGTACCAGTTGAATTTCGAATATAGAAAGAAATAAGCATTTTTTAAAGATCTGTTTTTTAAAGATTGATTTTGAAATAAGGTCAAGAATAATTTTTCCAAAATGTGAGTACTTTTCGCGTAATTTTGCGTGAAAGTATGGGCGAGAAAGTACGTGCAGTTGTAGCTCCACTAGTTGTGTTGTGCGTTTGTGGAACGAGCCCTCACCTCAGCCGCTCCTGTCCGCAGGTGACGGAGGTCGCGCAGCGGCACACGGCAGGGCTCGCGGCGACGCCCGGCGGCGGCAGTGCCGGCGGCGGCTCCCCGAGCTCGGGCGTGAGCAGCCAGGTGACGTCGAGCGGCGGCGGAGGCGGAGGCGGCAGCGCGACGGGAGGCGGCTCCGTGCCAGGCTCAGGGTCCGCGCCCGCGGGCGCACCCTCGGCCGCCAGCATGCAGGCGGCGCTGCTCTCGCTCAACCAGGTGCGCACCCCACCCCCCTCACACTTAGGCTTGTGCCCTGCTTCGCTTTTGTGGTGTAAAGCTTCGTTCTGGCGATTACCAGCGTTTCCCTGGTATATCACCTCTCTCTCTCTCTCTCTGTCTCTCTCTCTCTCTCCCTCTCTCTCTCCTTATTCAATCCCTTCCCTTCTATTCTTCTCCTCGCGTCTCATCTGTCTCATCCTCCTTTGCATCTCTCCATTCCCATCTCCCCTTTTCTTTTCCTCTTCTACTTCTTTTTCCGTTCCTTATTTGTGCTGTCCCTTGTGCTGTGTTTTATTTGTTCCTTCTTTGATGCTTCTCTTTTATCTCGTTTATTTTCCTTTTATCCTTATCATCAATGTCTCTATTTTCTTTTGTGTACTAATGATTCTCTCTTTCTTCTTCATCCTCCCTTGTATGGTCCTAGCTCTTCTACATTTCCACCCTTTAATGCTTACTGTTTTCTCGTTTTCTTCCAATTTTTTTTAATCCTAAATCTGTAATATGTTATATCTCTTGTGTGGAGATATTAAAGTAACTTCGTAGAATAGACGAATCGAGCTAACAAGTTCGTTGAAGCCAAAGTTGAATTCAGATCCCACCCATGCCTATCAGAAAGAGTTTGGAATCGTAGAGCGGGTGATAATTTTGTAGTGTTCATCTAATAGTTTTGAAAGCCATACAGAAAACCAGCAAGCATCCAAAAACAGTTCCGCCCCCATTTTGCGGATAGACAGTTTAAGGCCCCTATCTTATCTGTCCGTCCACCATCCGCCTAACACTCGCGTGCGCTGCCTGTGCCCACAGTTCATGAGCCTGGGGCAGAGCCCCCAGCTGCTGCTGCAGAACCAGCTGGCGGCGGCGGCGGCCGCGGCCGCTGGCCAGCTCGGCAGCCAGGAGCTGCAGGCGCTGCAGCAGACGTTGCAGCTGCAGCAGCTGGTGCTGTTCCAGCCGGGGCCCGGCGGCCCGGGGGGCCCTGCCAGCTCGGGCCCCCAGCCGCCCTCCCCCGCGGGCCAGCTCCCGCAGCTCTTCCTGCAGAACCAGGTACGCCCACCACGCCCACCCCCGCCTGCGTATGGTCCTTCATACACAGTGTGTACAGCGCCGCCTTTTTTTAAGAATCACGAACTCCCATTTTCCGCGCTTTGTGTATTTTAAAACAAATCTTTGTAAATTGTGAGGTATATCTACGCAAAGATCTCGTAACTCTATCATCCTCGTTGTGTCTGCAGGGCAATTTCGGAATCTCGTATGTCGAAGAAAATTATAAAAATTTCATTAGAAAATCGTATGTCTATTTCTTATTAAGTAATTCACAGTAATTGTAACATGAAAATGATGATGATGACGATGATAATAACATCTACAAAATTTCATGAAAACTGGTGTATATGTTTTTTTCTGATCTTACTATTAGTGTTGTTTCCTTCCTGTATTTTATTTTACATACGTGCTTTTTTAAAGAAAAGTCACTCTAAAAGGATTAGATAATATTTTAGAGCAGTAGACGAATTTTCTGCTGGCCGTCACAGGATCGTATATGTCATTGGTCACACTCGTGAGATGCTAATCGCCAAGTGCATACATCGTGCTAGAGTTTGCTGTAAGTTGTGCTATACTACGTTGTATCAAACTTCGTTTTGCTCGACGTTTGAGAGTCACGCGATGGCGCCGAAAGTCGTTTCCTAGTGACACGCAATACCAGCAGCTTTTCGAGTGACGTAATGGCCTCTTGTTGCCACCAACTCGGAATGAATAAATGAAAGTAACTGAACTTTGTACCAGCTGAGCGCTTTTGCCAGGGATTTATGACACCAAACATCAGAATTTCCCCTCATTAAAAGTATCCATGCTGTATAAGTATCGGACTGCAAAACATCGAATGTATAGGACTGAACCCTGGTATTCGCTTTAGATTGCCCGCGAAAGACCGTGGCCAATGCAGAAAAGCGCGGCAATGCTCTCACTGCCGAGGCTTAACTGTCAAGCACAAAGAAGAATGGTACAACGTAAAGATTAGAATGTTTAGTAGATCAAGTGATGGATTGGTTTGCATGAGACATGCGGAATACTCCTAGGAAACACGATTTATATAAATATCATAATACTGTTTCAACATTAGAAATCTGTTGTAAATAGTAGTTATGTTAACGTACTTACTACAATAATTATTACTAAGTACGTTAACATAACTGAGTTACTGAGAATTCACTTAGACTTTAGGCCCTGAGTATTCTTACTAGCTGCTCATGGTGTGCTTAAGGGACTACGAGATCTTAGATTCGAAGAAATACGATATGCAATGGCATGTGTAAATCGATGAGGCATTCCCACGCAAACCACTTGAATATGGCACAGGCGGAGCTGTATTTGATGTAAGACACTCCCACTAGAATTAGAAACGCAATGAGGGGGAGGGGTCTAATGGGGATTCAACCCCTCCTCTTCGCCTTCCAAACCCGTTGACCCATATTCACAATGATGTTTTTTGCTAATTTCCATTAGTAACGCAAATCATTCAACGTCTCAGTTGCATACTACATAAACAACTTTAAATTAGGAAATGAAAATAGTTTTAAATCCAGCATAAGTGCAAAATTCTTCGTTAGAAAACATCAAATCGACTTGACACACATCTGTAGCGCGTGCACGCACCCGCTGAGATGAAGATGTGAGACTTTTGACAAGTTTAAGTGAGCACAGACATGTACTCGTATTAACATTAAATAAATAAAAACGTGTTACACGAGTTTGAATTGTCTGAGTTTGTATTTGGTAACACACATTACCTAATAGCAATAGTTATTGGATCGGATTCCTGTTTCGGACAAGGTTGGCGGAAAACCGTGTAGGCCGTCGTGTAGGTCAGCGCCGGATCTCAGCGTTATTCTGCCACATCCCGTGATAAAAACATGCATTGCATTTGCCGTGCCCGGAAACACGAAATAATCAATGAATCTTGTTTCGGGGTTATTGGTCAGTAATATGACTGCCGCACCTCATACGACCTACAGAGTTGTGTGGAATATATTACACTTACTTCAGATATTAAACTGCATTTCTAATAGATTTTCTGAAAAGAGAATGCATTCAGAAACCCATTCGTTATTTTTCCACGTCGTGTCGCAACCTTATTTCGTCTTGACCTTTCTTCACGCCAATGTATTCATCCTCGGCGAGCCTCTGACAGGATGATACCGTAATCATCTCGTGCCGTCGTGCTGCAACGCCCGTCCTCTCCACGTCAGTCATCGTTTTGGCCCGGCGAGATGCTGCTTTCTGCATCGCCCGCGCTCTCTCACGGGCACGCCGGGACGCAGAGCATACAGAGCGCTTGCGAAATACAGTAGAACCACGCTTTTCCGAACTAATTGGGGGTATGGTGGGTTCTGATTCGGAAATGTTCGGATTATCCGAAAAATGTACCGTACATATACAAATACATCTACGTGGTTACCAGACACACTATCGTAGCGTGCGATGTGAGAAAACGGCAACGTAGAGAAGCGATCGCATCGAATCATCAAACAGATTCAATTCCTTACGCCAAAAAAAAAGGACGCCGATTTTGCACGTTCCTCTAAGTGAAAATTACTGCCGTGTATACATGTGATAGACACCGTAGTTACCAGTGCAATAAACGTTTCATTTCGATAACTTGTTTAAATTGTTTAGTTCTAAGGTAATTAGAAACTCCTTTCTGTACACTTCGAAAAAGCATTTTATTTTGTTTATTCCATCCCGAATCTTGTTCGGATTATACGAAATTTCGGATTTACGGGGTTCGGATTAGTGGAGTTCTACTGTAGTTACAAATCATGCTGCGAAACGAAACAACGCACATGAGAAGCAATTGATTGAAACGTTCAAAACTTTTAGACAAAATAAGAATGCGTTTTTAAATGACCACGTCAAAAGATTTAACAGATTTTAATGTGATCATTATGTTTTCTCCATTATTTAAATGGACGTAATATCCTTTGATTTGGCATATCTTTTGTGTACGCCCAGAAATTTTAAAATACATTGAAAATTCGGTTCAAATTAAATGGATTGTGGAGTTAATACATTTGTATCTGTTGCTCTACCCTATTTGTTGTTCGTTTTCGAAGATGATCTACGTTCTAAGTTGTTCCTTTTCGTACTTCTTCCCAGAATTCAGTAATTACAACGTTTTTTCTACAATGATGGACAGGAACGCAATTTCTTACTCGAATAAAAAATGTAGTATTTTTTAATTATTTTATTTTCTTCTCTTTTCCCAGATGTTAATTTAAAATAGTTCATGAAAGACTTCTCCGAGTATCACCATGAAAGGAATATTATGAAATAATAATAATAATAATAACAACAACAACAATAATAATAATAATAATAATAATAATAATAATAATGATAATAATAA